TCCTCTATGCTCTAACTACGAAAATATTTGATGTACAAATAAGGAATCCTACTTCGCGGAATTTCATTTATCATGGTAGGGTCTAGAACCGATTAACCGCGATAAACGAGGGTTCATTGTAACCCCCTCCCAGGAGGGTGGGCAACCGAAAAGTGCGTGAAGGGAGATATTGGTCAGTGTAAGACATGGAAAAAAATGATAAATTATATAGGGTTCATGAGGGAGGAGGGTGGGGCCTGAACTGATACCAAGGTCTCAAGTAGAAAGAAAATGTTTTGAAAATGATGCTGGCATCTTAAATGTACAAATGTGCTTGACACATGTATGTATTATGTATTGTGATAAGAGCTGTATCAGCCCCCAGTAAAATGTTTTAACAGATTAAATAGATTTCTTCCAACTTTTAAATTTATAATTAATTTTTATGAAAATTATGAGTATTGTAATGCATATCTGTACATTACCTCTTGAATTCAGTAATTGTTAATATTTTGTACATTAATATTCAGTACATTACTGAATTCAGTAATTGTTAATATTTTGCTATGTTTGCTATCTGGTATTTATGTGTGTATGAATTTTATTTTGAACAGAGTCATTTGAAAATTATTTGTTCACTTTTACTTAATTTAGTATGCATCCCCTGTGAGTGAGGAGAGAGCCCTGTCAAACCAGAGTACCATAATCACACTTAAGAAAAATTAATACTGATTCTCTATAGCATTTAATGTTCCAGTTGTATTTGCATCTCCCTGACTAATGTCTTTTGTCACTGGGTTTTTTTGTTGTCTACTTTTTGACCAGGATCCAAATAAGGTTTGTGGTTGGAAGGGGTGTCAGCCCCCCCACCCCACCACCACCCAATCGTGGGTTCTATAGGCAGAATTGTACGGTTGAGATATATAAATATTATATTAAAGTCATAGAAAGCATGACATATAGGAGAGAGTCAAATAATGGAGTCAGACACATTTCATAGTAGCATGCTCACCTCCCGGATAGCCATGGTCTTACCAGCCAGGTCCGCGCACAGCGTGGGCTGAGGCGAGGTGGGGCAGTAGGAGGCTGGAGAACCCCATTTATTGCTAACCAAGGGTTATCTCTACTTAGGGCGGGGCGTGATTACAGGTAACCATGTGTCACAGGAAGGGGCAATACAATAGGCATAAACATCATAGGAAGGGGATGTGTAATGGGCACAGGCATGACAGGAAGGGGATGACCTGGGGCTGTACATGATAGGAAGGGGAAGGACTAGAGGTATACATGTGACAAGAAGGGCAGACCCTAGATTCATGATGGCGCCTAACCTTGGTCACACTTGGGTGGGCTTGACCTCTCTGGGATCGCCTACAAGGAAACAGTTCAACTACTATCCTTATCAGAAGGGAGTGGGGCCCTTCGTGTTGTGGGATAAACAGTGGTAACTGCTTGCTCTAGATGGCTGATAACCCTTAGGGAGAATAACCCCTGATCTACTTCTAATGACCTCTAAGCGTATAGTTATTCGCAAGCAGCTAAGTTTTGCATATATTTGGGGGAGACAGCTTGGAAGAAATCCTTCTGTTTCCCACAAAGGTTCATGATTACGTTTGATTGTTTTGTCTCTTTAGTACTTTTTAATCTAAAATCATGTCTTACCTGTATTCGCCCTTATGGCATTGAATTTTTGAAAGGACTAGAACAGTTGGAGGAGCCCTTGTGGCTATATTGGGTAAGTGTTGGGCTGCTAATCTCCAGTTTGGCAGTTCAAACCGGCCCCGCCACAGGAGAATGCTAGGGCTATCTGCCCATGCATAAATCCATGCCTTGGAAGCCCTATGTAGGGTCACTTGGAGGCAGAAAGGAGCCTTGGTGGTGTAGTGGGTATGCATTGGACTGCGGTTTGGAACCTCCAGCTAGCTCTGTGCAAGAAAGACTAGGCTTTCTACTTTGGTAGAGTTAACGTCTGGGAAACTCTCAAGTTAAAGGCTGGGAAACTAGCAGGTCATAAGTAAGAATAGACTCGCTAACAGTGAGGTTTTTTTTTAGTTTCGTTGTTTTTATGATTAAGAATTGGCTAGAAGGCAGTAAGTTGAGGACAGTTGTCTTTCAAATGTGTGTGTGGTGTGTGTGTGTGCATGCGTGTACATGTATAAAGTAACAAAAATGAGTCTCCCGACAAACTTGAAGCTATTGCAGATTCCATCCAGACCACTGCAATAAAACAGATACTGTTCATATAAAGTTATGCTTACAATATATAGTTAACTATTAAAGGGACCTTAGTGACACTTTGGGTTAGGCATTGGGCTGCTAATCACAAGGTCAGTGGTTCGAAACCACCAGTCACTGGTAAGACTGTCTGTTCCCATAAAGATTTACAACCTAGGAAACCTACTAGAGGGTCACTGTGAGTTGGAATTGCCTCTCTACAGGGGGGTTTGATTTGTTTAGGTTTGGTAGTCTATTTAGTATGCAGTATCATTATGAAAAAGTTTAAAATATTCTGAGTTACCCACATGTGACCCAGAGACATAAGTGAGCACCTCCTCTTGGGAACATGACACTGATAGACTTGCTCAACCCAGGGCTGCCACAAAGCATCACTTCGTGAAAAAGATGTGCAGCTCAATAACATGAAGTATGGAACATGAGGTATTGCTGGGAAATCATTTTAAAAAACACTTTTATTCAACAAAATGCCAGAGTGTAATTGTTTCCCAACACACCATCCATCCAGGTCTATATGAGGGGGTACAAAAAAACCTGGATTTCCCCCCCCCCCAAATAATACATTTGTCAAATCTGCAATTCCATTCTTAGAAAATTTTCAAGCTCATCACTTTGGATGGCTGACAGCACCTACCTCTTTTTTTTTTTTTTTCACTTCTACATTGTCAAATTGCTGCCTTTTCATATCCCTCTTCATTTGTAGAAACAAAAAGAAGTCCCACGGAATAAGGTCAGGTTAGTCAGATGTGTGGGGCAAGAGAGGAATGCTGCTTTTTGCCAAAAACTGGCGCACTGAGATGCCAGTGAGCAGGGGCGTTGTCATGGTGGCACAACCAGTCCCCGTCTGCCACAAATCAGGGCTTTTTTGTTGCACGCTGTTATGCCATCTTTTCGGAACCTCTAGCTAGAATGCTTTTATAACAGTCTGACCTGGTAGAACGAACACCAAATGCACTATCCCCCTCACATCACATTCAGGTTTTTTTGGGGGATACCCCCTCAAATACTTCTGAATTTAGTATTCCCTCACTCTTAACCCTTCCTCCCTAAACTCTGCATTCTTCTGTCAATACCATGTCAAAACAGTGTTGGCATCCCCTCGAGAGACTCAAATAGGATTCTTTAGAGCAGTCTTTGAGTTTGGAGAACAAAAATAAGTGTAAAGGAGCAAGATCAGGGCTGTAGGGAGAAGGGGGTAAGATTTCCCAATGACATTCTCTTAGGACAGCAATACTTTTTCATTTAGCCTCATAGACATATTTCTGAAATGTTTTTTCCTAGTTTCACGCTTATTATGAAGGAGGTCCATATTATCAGTTCCACAGCGAAAGCCCTCCATAATCAATGCTTTTTTGAATTTCTCCCAGCATCCCATTTACCATCCTCCTTTCACTCATATCTAATCTTGTTGTTGGTAGGTGCCATAGAGGCGGGTATGAGCCATGGCAGCACAGCATAAAACTCCTTACTTTCTGGTCTTGTATCCAAAAGAGGAAATCCCAAACTTGTTGCCATGAAGTCAACTCTGTATCAAGTCCTACAGAGTAGAACTGCCCCATCTGGTTTCCAGGACTGTAATCTGTAAGGAAGCTGCCTGCCATAGCTTTCCCTCTGAGCAGCTGGTGGGTGAAACCACTGACCTTTTTCTTAGCACCCAGGCACTTACCCTCTCTGCCACCAGGGCTCTTGCTATTGGATCAGCCTGTTCAAACCTTAGAAATTCAGAATTAGGGAGAGTGGAAATTCAGTCACAGGCTGGCTGGTGCCTTTATGTTCTGAATATAAGTAGCCCTGGTAGCCTAGTGGTTATGTGTTGGGCCGTGATCCACAAGGGGGCACTTGGAAACCACCAGCCGCTCTGAGAGGAAAGGATGAGGCTTTCTCCTTCACAGAAACCCACAGGGTTAGTCTCAAACCCCCTGGGGTGGCTCTACCCTGCCCTATAGGGTGGTTCTGAGTCAGAATTGGCTGGATGGCAGCGAGTTTGAGAGTTTCATAGGACAGAAAAGCTGTATGACTTTGGCAAAGTCACTTCCCTTCTTTTTCTTACAGAATAGCTGGTGAACTTGAACTGCAAACCTTGAGGTTAGCAGCCCGATGAATAACCCCCTACACCATTAGAGCTTCTGGTATAAAGTGAGAACATGGTTATATGTCTTTGAATAGTCCATGATTATAAAGGGGTTTTAAAAAGCCCTTTTAGTTACACTTTTCCACAAATTTTTTGAAGCCCCCCCTCTTAGAAAATTTAAATATATGAGAAATTCAGACACTTCTGTTGTGTGGATGAGATTGAATTAACCTGATTGGTTGTGAGGTTCCCATGAAATAACTAATGTGAAAAATGCAAAACTCATTGCTATGTAGTTGATGCCATAGCAACCTTATAGGTCATGGTAGACTGCCCTTGTGATTTTCCGAGACTGATTCTTTATGGGAGTAGAAAGCTCTGTCTTTCTCTCTAGGAGCAGATGGTGGTTTCGAACTGCTGACCTTTAGGATCTCAGCCCAGTGCCCAACACTGTATCCCCAGGGCTCCTACTCTTTTGAAAGCTCCTGAAAATGACACAGGATTGTAAAACATGTAACAATTTTATGAGCAAAGTGCATCGGGAAACAGCTGCTCTGGGCTGCTTCTGCTGCAGTTACTCCAGTAGTTAAGAGAAGGTCTCAATTTCCGCTGGCCTCTAGTTATGCTGGAAACAGTTAAATTGATACTGCGCTCATTTGTTTTCTGGAATGGGAATAATTGGGTCTGATCTCTCTCTCTTTTTATATCCTTACAGCTGTATTATCAAGTCCTAAACTTTGGAATGATTGTCTCCTCAGCACTAATGATCTGGAAGGGGTTAATGGTAATAACTGGAAGTGAAAGTCCAATTGTAGTGGTGCTCAGGTAATAATTTTTCTTTTCAAGATGTGCAATTGCATGGCATTCAAGAGTCTTACATGGAAGGAAAACTGAGCTATTAACATGTTCTCAGTGACTGGTACACTAGCCCCTTTGAAACTCCTCTTTCCTAGAAGAGAGCTTGAAAGAAAATTAGATGTTACTCCTGATGGGGAGGAAATTCTCCCACTGGTAGGCACTTCTCACTCAAATCCACAGGACTCATGACCTTTCTATACAAAGATTATATGAGAGCTTTATTTTTGACACATGTTGCATTTGAATCCCTTTAAGAGTGTTATTGTATTTGGTTTCCCTGAAATTCTCTTTCTTCGTAACTTTCCATTTTGAGCCACCAGGCGTCATATTCAGTTCAAGAGATTTTATAGTATCTCCGCATCTTAGGAGTTTTTCTGCAGCATATTCCCCGTGTCAGTAGAGAAGCATAACTAATTATTTTTGTTTCTCATTCTGACCTTTAAATATCACCTCTAAACTAGACTCAGGAATAATAAAGATACTGATGCCATTTCTTCATGGGATAAATATTACTGATTTCTTTCCCCCTTCACTATTTTCTCCCCAGTTCTTGCACTCATATCTTAGTGATTCAAAAATACAATGTAGTAATTCATTTGGATAATTACCAGTTAGCTATTTGCGTCATTATATTTTATTTTGGGCTTAATTTCATAAACCATCTGAAATCCTTTTTGGAAATGATGGAGTATAAATGTAAAATAAATGGAATAATTAACATTATATAGACAGTAATATGCTTCTTTCCTTTTTTAATCATTTTATTGAGGTCTCTTACAACTCTTGTTACAAACCATGTATCAATTGTATCTGACATATTCGTACATATACTCCATCATTCTTTTCTAGATATTTACTTTCCATTGAGTCGTTAGGATCAGCTCCTCTTTTTTTCCCTCCCTTCTCCCCACCCCCAACCTTCGTGACCCCTGATAGATTGTAGATTGTTAATTATGTTCAAATCTCACACCGACCGCTGTCTCCCTTCCCCTCTTGTTCTCCCCCTGGATGGGGGTGTGTGGTTATGTGCCATTCGTTACGATCGGTGTCCCCCTCCCTCCCCACCTGTCCCCTACCTGTTGGTATCTCTAGTCCCATTCCTGTTCCTGGGTTCCATGTGTTGTGAGTTCTATCTCTTGCCTGTACCTATGTACATGCTCCCATCTAGTCTAGATTGGGAGGCGGCACTGAGGTCATGATGGGGGTACAGGGGTGAGGAGGCCTCCAGGGAACAGAGCTATATTGCATGACCCATTAGTGCTCTACTGCACCCTGATTGACTCACCCCTCCCTGCGACCTCTCTGGGGAGGTGAGGGGGATGCTCTATTGTCCATAGATGAGCTTTGGGTCTCCGCTCCATTCTCACCAATGCGTTTTTGCTTGTTTGTTTACTCTTGTGAATCTTCTGATGCTCGTTGCCCAGTCGACACCTCATGATTGCACTGGCTGTGTGCTTCTTCCATGTGGGCTTGTTGCTTCTCTGTTGGATGGCCGCTTGTTTAACTTCAAGCCCGTAAGACCCCAGACACTCTTAACTTTTAATAGCTGGGCACCATCCTCTGTCTTCACCACATTTACTTATGTACCCATTTTGTCTTCAGCAATCGTGTGTGTGTGGGGGGTGGTGAGCATCACAGAATACCAATTTGTTAGAACAAAGTGTTCTTGTATTGAGGGAAGGTATGAGCCGAGGCCCAAGGCCTGTCTGCAGCTTCAGTGTATTGCCTTATAAATATATGTACGTAGGTCCCTACCACTATTGTTATAGATTAATGTATCTGCCTAAGTGCACACCTCTGTTTATTTCCCTACCTGTGCCTTTGCTTCCTAGAGCTTGCCTCTGTTTCCTTTGGCCTCCTCCTGCCCCGCCATTGCTTTCCCCCTTTTTCCTCCTCTTAGTGCGTCCTCTCCACTAGCTTGGTGTTGCTCTCATACTCACAGGATCTCTACCCTCTCCTAGATGCTGGTTCCGCTTCCCTAGTTGTTCCCCGGAATATGTTTCTCTTGAAAGGATAACTGTGACCCCTTCATTACTGTATTATGTCCTTCCAGCTCCAACAGGTGTTTGGAGGCTCTGGATCTCCAGTAGACTCACTCCTCTTTTCTTTCTTGAACCTGAGCGGTTTTCCTGATACTTGAGTACAGCTGTGTCAAAGAAATGAATGGATTTTACTAGGTGACCCAGCATTTATTGTGTTTCTCTGAACGTGCAGAGGCATGGGTTTCTAGTTCTTTCTCGATCTAACTCTACCCTTGGGCCAGTTACTTATTCGCTGAACCATAGTTTCTTCATCCATAAAAAGAGTCAACCTAAGGGGGGAAGGGAAGAAGAGGGGATAACAAACACAGGGACAAGGGAACAACAAGCGATCCAAATTGGTGGGGAGGTGGGTGTGGGAGACCTGGTAGGGCAGGATC